TTTTTTTTTATAACTCATCTGTTTAAATTATATTAAGCCTTAAAGTTCTGCATAATTAATGGCGTGGCCACTTGAGTGACAGGTGGATTGCGGCTGCTGTCACCGGCGGCGAGCTAGGTGGGCGTGGCTTCAGCAACCAGCTCCCGCCTCTTTGCCCATTTTCGATTATCCGGGAGTGACGCCCTGCCAAGATGGCGACGGCCGGCTCCGCCTACTTTAGGTTTCAAAAACGCTCTTCGGAAAACTACGGGTGATGTCACAGACACTACGTCCATGTTTTTATACAGTCTATGGGTAAATCCTGTATAGTGATTTATCCTATATAGTGCTTGCATAAAGCAATTAGTGCATACACTTGTAGCTGTTATGTATCTTTATAAGTCATTGTAAGCCCTCCTTTGAGGCACGCGCAAGCGCACAATCCCCCCGTTATAAAAAAAACAAACAAACAAGTGGCCTCCCCCAAAGTCCACGGTATAGTTCGAACACTGCTTAAAAGTGCATAATTCATGAACATAAAAACAAACTATTTAAAACTAACGGACTAAAAAACGTTCTCGTAAACAGTAACATTAATGTGGAACAAAGAACTATTACCTTGGATTATAAACGAATATTACAGCGTAATACGGACCTACTCACCTAACACATCAATTCTTGGACAAAACTTAATATAACAGCACGTAATGTTAATCAATAACAGATGAAGTCCCAATGCGTTTAATTAAAAACTTACCAGTCACCTCGATAAGTAAAGTTGCAAAAGTTGTAACAATTGTTCAACACAGTTGCTCTGTGTATCTCTCCCGCTTTCACCCAAACAGACGGCTTTCCCGCGCAGCTTTCCGAGAATGAGCACTTCCGGTTTCGAGGGTTGCCAGATCCCACACCAAAAATCCGACGTTGGACTGAGACTTTTACCCCTTCATTATTATGGTGTTATTTGTAATGATAAAAACGGTGTGTAAATTATTGCTTGGCGGTTTAAGTTGATCCAATAATAAATTAAACACCCTTATGGTAAATTTTTTGTTAAAAGTATGTGGCAACTTAAAATTTTATATCTGTTTGGAAGGCTTAAGTAAACAATTTCTATAAGATTATTTTTTTAAATATTGTAACAAACAATCTCTCATGATGATGATCTATATCTCATGTGAACAAGAAAGACAGAAATAACTATTTTTAATCACACAACTATAAAATTTATTTTATATATAACCCTTTTTTCCAAAAAAGGCACTATGTACAAAATTATGCACAGAACTGTCTGTACACAATCGGAGTAGCACTTACTACAACTGTTATCCACTCACAATTGTGTATAAAAACATTGTGTATCAGAAATACACACAGCTGCATATCAGAAAAATTACAGAAACGTAGCATGAAATGGCACAACATTTGTAAGCTTTATAAGTCTTTGTGACAAAAAGGTCAAATGTTATTCTTGAAACAACTTATTTCTATTCCAATAACCAAAAGAACAAGAATGTATAAAAGAATGTAAAACTTACCCAAAGAACTGCAAGTGTTAATCAGGAAAACATGTAAATAAATAAAACTTAATTTAATAGTATTTGGTCTCCATGCACAAAACAATAACCTAGGCTAACATTTTGGCATCTGGTTTTAAGTAAAGGTGGTCTCAGCAGGGTAAATATCCTGTATGACCTGATTTAAAATCTCATCTATGACCTCACAGTCATAGTTCACTTGGTCGAGGTCGAGGTACAGGGCAGGAACAAAAGTGACCAATAAACGGGCGATGCTGCACCTCAGTTCCCTCAACCTGATGACAGAAGAGAGAGCAGAATTATATATGTGCATCAAAATGTGACTCCTATGAGCATGTACAGAAAGGCCACATACCACTTCAAACCTTAAATCAACAAGGCTCTTACTTGGCCAATGTCACTGTGTTCTCTCCATCCACAGGTCTTTCACTGCTCTCTCCTTCCTTTTTGATCCCATTCTCAAGGTTCGCAGCCGTGCTTGCTCTGCATGTTTGTTCTGAACTGGTGTTACTGTCCTTCAGAGTCTCTTGCTCTCTTGCATTGCTCCACTCCTCTCTTTGTTTCCTCAGCTCTTCTATTTCCTTCTGCAACAGCTCACAGACGTTCTCCTGCTCCAAGCTCTCCAACTTTCAGAATACAGTTGAGTTTGTGGGTATTGAAGAATGAAAGAAAAGAAAAAAGAAGAAAAGTCTAAGCCTGACTGATTAAATAATGGCCATTCTTGCAGGAAAGACCAACACTTGTGGAATAGGATACTGTAATGTCCCCATCATTTCTCTTAGCTATCTTAACCAGCATGGCTTCCGTGATCAGCCAGCTTTACCACTATAATTTACCTTCACATGCAGGCAAGTTTTTCCAGTTAAGAAGTCAAATGCACTTAAAATTCTGTCCTTTACTAACCCTCATTTAATTGCAAACCCTTAAGACTTTGGTTCATCTTCAAAACAAAAGTGAAAATATTGTTAGAGATTTCTGTCCCTCCACTGAAAGTCCATGCAATCAAAGCTTTGATGATTTGATGGTTTAAACTTAGTCTTCTGACATGATCACTTTATACAACCCAATTTCCAGAAAAGTTGTATTTTGTTATAGGCAATAAGAACTAGAATTTGTAATTTTGGTTATTCTTTTTAACACTTATTTAACTGACAAAAGTTCAAAGAAATGTCTTCCAATGTTTTCAATTAACAATCATCGTTGACTTATTCTCCTCTACATGATGCACCATATGTTTTCAGTAGGAGACAGATCTGAACAGCAGGCAGGCCAGTCAAGCACACATCCACTCTGTGTCTACAAAACCATGCTGTTGTTGCACATGCAAAATAAGGTCTGGCATTTTTTTGCACTAATAACCATGGACTTCCTGGGTCATTTTGATGGCAGCATATCTCTGTGGAATCCCAATATATGCCTCCATGTCAATGGTACCTTCGCACATATGCAAGTCAGCTGTGAGCTTGCATGTACCTCGATGTATCCCCATACAGATGTTGGCTTTTGAACCTGTCGCTGATAAAAGTCTGTATGGTCACTTACGTCTTTGGTACAGAAAAATAATGTCTTTTTCCCCCCCAAAATCAATCTGAAATGTGGACTCATCTGACCACAGCACAGAACACCAGTTTCATACAATCCGAGATGAGCTTGGGCCCAGAGAACTTGACAGAATCTCTGCATAGGATTGATGTATGGATTGCTCCGTGCATAACAGATTCAGGTTGCATTTCTTGATGCAGTGACAAACTGTGTTAAGTGACAAAGGTTTATCAAAGTACTCCCAAGCCCATGTGACTGTGTTTAACACAAAATAATGTTTTCTCATTCTGAAAACCACAACAAATTCCTTGTGTGTTTGTGCACACTTGGCGAATAAATGCATACTGATTCTGGTTTCTCATGCAAGGCGATCTGAGGGTTTGAAGGTCACACACATTCAACAGAAGTTTCCTGCCTTTCCCTATACAGACTGAGGGTTCTTTCACAATATTGGTTAAAAACTAGCGCTGTCAAATGATTAATTGCATCCAAAATAAAAGTTTTTGTTTGCATAATATATGTGTGTGTACGGTGTATATTTTAGTGCTGGGCAACGATTAATCGCATCCAAAATAAAAGTTTTTGTGTACGTAATATATATGTGTGTGTCATAATCCAGACCCATTAACATTTGAACAAAGAAAAGAACAATTTTATGTTCATAGACACATTTTTTTCAGGGACATTAATTGTAGACCGGGATAGCAGAAGTTTTTTAACATTAAAATACTACACTTAAATTAGATACCATTAAAAATGTCATGCTTTTAAAATAAGTATAACCTTTTTAAAGCTACACTATATAACTTTTTTTTTTTGTAATTAACAAAATGAAAATATTAAGTGAGTACATTATAAATGCATCTTCCAAACGGTGTTATTGCTTTACCTTTAATTACTATGGTGAGACTTTAATAACTATTTATACTTCGGGATGGATTTCACTGGAAACTTCATACTTCCGTCAGTTGTCTGTGCATGTTTACGTCATATAGTTATATATAAATACACACACATACAGTATATATTTTAAACATATTTACATGTATTTACATGCCTATATTTATATTCATATAATTTATATTATAAATAAATATATTTAATATATAAACATAAATTTTTTCTGAAATATATACATGCACATGTGTGTATTTATATATACATAATATAGACAGCACACATACATATATTATGTAAACAAAAACTTATTTTGGATGCGATTAATCGCGATTAATAATTTTGACAGCACTATTAAAAACCTAAATTCTTTGCAATCTTGCACTGAGAAATGTTATTTCTGAATGGTTTGATAATCCTTTCATTACGTTTGGCAAAAAGTAGTAAGCCACGATCCATCTTAGATTGCAAAGACCGATACTTTGGTGGATGCTTTTTTTTTTTTACCCAATCATGATACCCTCACCTATAACCAATCCACCTGCTTATTGTGGAATGTTTTAAAACAGTTTAACTTGGATATTCTGTAATCTTTTCACTTTTATTTTGCCTCTGTCCCACTTTTTTTGTGGAGCGTTACAGCATTCAAAATTTGTTTATACATCTACAAAATACAATCAAGTTGGTCAGTGAAAACATTGGAAACCTGTTTCTTTGTAGTTTTGTCAGTTAAATAAAGGTTAAAGAGAATTAACAAATCATAATTCTTGTTTTTATTGCATTTTACAAAATGTCCCAACTTTTCTGGAAATGGGGTTGTATGATGAACAGATTTAATTTTTATTCACAAACAGAAGCTCATATGTGCTTGGTTACTGTGCGAAAACCAACAAGGTATGTTCTTGTGTGTTACTCAAGTGCAGTTCAGCTTTCATTGATCATATTTCATTAGAATGAAGTGTTTAAAGATTTGGAAGAACTGACATTTAAAGGAGAAACAGAAATCTTTCAGATTTGATTAAAAAATATTTTAAAGTGATTCAAAGATGAACAAAAGTCATACATATTTGTAACAATATGAGAGTGAGTAAATGATGACAATTTATCTTTTTGGTGAACTTTCCCTTTAAGAGCATCAAAACCATACTAACCAGGGGTGCGTTTCCTAAAACCAAACATGGTCGCAGGTTCCATTGTTAACAATAGATTTCAATGGAATTAACTACCATAGTTAGCCAACGATGCTTTTGGGAAACGCCAACCCTGGGTGGAAATCCATGCATTTTCTGGAGGGACTATTGTCATTTCATTTTTTATTGCTTATGAGAATTTACAGAGTCAAAAATATCAGGTGCTCACCTTTCTTCTCAGTTCATTGCATTCATTGTTGCGCTTGTCCAGCTCCCTTTGAAGCAAGTCCATTTGAAGAGCCACTTCGTCATTTACATTTTCATTTGTTGTTGATGAGTGTTCCTCCCCCTCAGCTTTCAACCAGTCACAACACACCTTGTCCTGTGCTTCTTTCTCAACTTTGATTTGCAACAACACCTCATGTTTAATTTTTAACTCATCCCTCTCTTTCATAACCTCTTTGATGCAGTGGGTGGTTTGTACGTAGAAAGTGTTAAAGTGTGTTATATATGACATTCCTTCCTGGTTTTCTACATTTGAATTTTCATTTTGTTCAAAACTGATCTTATTCTCCTTAGGTATCTCCTCTAGTTTTTTAAGATTTAGTCTGGAAACTTCTATGCTACTACATCTCTCAACTTCCATGGGGCCTTTGATTATTTCTGTATTGTTTCTTATCCTACTTTCCACCTCATTAGTGCTCTGTTCCATCCTTCTCACATCACTCTCAATCTCCTCCTTCTTGAGCTCAACTTCTTCCTTTCTTATCTGCTCGTATTTCTCCGCCTTTAAAATCAAACGTTCTGTTTGGGTTTTTATGCTTGTTTGGTCATTGAAAGTCGATGCTTGCATCCTTTCCTTTCTGGTGTTTTCAGTTTCAGTTTTTATGGAACCATGATCACTGGACTCAATATATAATCCTGGTGCATCATCGTTGGTCTTTTCTTCCATCTTCACCTTAGAAAGGTCAAAGGGTTTGGGTCTTGGCGTGCTGTGGGTCTCCTCAATAACAACATTGTCGTCGTCACTGCTCTCTACATTGTTTTCATCAACTTTATTGCCATCATTGTCTGCCGCCAAAGGTGAGGTTATGAAAGCTGATGTAGCTGCAGATGTTGATGGACTACCTGGTGTGTTGCTACAGTAGTCATGTAATGTTCTTGCTCTTTTTACAGTTTGGCTCTGGGATAAACCTGGACTTCTCTTTGTTCTGAAGACAGGTTTGAAATCATGTTGTGTGCAAAAACAGAATTAAGAGAGAATGAATGGAAATATGTGTGTAAAAATAGAGAACGGAAGAATGAGAATGATGTACCTTTTAGGAGTGGAGATTGACATGACCTTTGAAATCACTGGCATGCTGTCCGAGGGGCTAGAAGCTGTTTAAAAAATAAATAAAATTAAATAAAATAATTCAGGTTCTGTATCAAAAACAACTGCACACACAATGTGGCCTCACCAGACTGTGAAAGGGGCATTGAATTGAAAGGGCTCATCGCTGTCAAAGAGGCCGTTCTGGGTGAGGAAGGACCCTATGTAAACAAAAAGACTTCAATCTGTTCCGGGAACTTATAATTGCTTAATATAGCTTTGGTTTTAAAATAAAAAAAACGTACTGAAGTTTTATCTTCAGAATCTTCGGCTTCTTCACATCGCCTGGATGTAGAAAGAACAGCTGTTTGAGCTAGGACAAGTTTAGAGATTTACACACACACACACAAAATTACATTTGTTGATAAATATCACTGATATCTAACCTACATTGCATGTTTAGACATGAATCATTGCTCAAATGCACTGAAATTAATTTCTGTGTTTTCATATATTATCTGTTCAGGGATGCAAACCCATAAGGGGATAAAAAAAGCACTATTTCTAGTCATTTTAAAAACTCAAGACCAGGGGTGTCCAATCCTGCTCCTGGAGGGCCACTGTCCTGCAGGGTTTAGCTCCAACCACAATTAAGACAAGTTGGAGCTAAACTCTGCAGGACAGTAGCCCTCCAGGACCGAGTTTGGACACCCCCTGCTCAAAACATAATACATTAGATACGTAACAGCAGAATTACTAATCCACTCAACCTTATTTATTTAGCCTATATTTAAAAAGCCTTGTAGGTAGTTCAATAAAGGTGGATGATTATGATGATTAAGTAATTTTTGTTATTTCAAGGGTCAACACAGGTGAATATATATATATATATATATATATATATATATAACTGTATATACAGTGCCTTGTGAAAGTATTCAAACCCCTTCATTTTTTCATGTTTATGTTACAGCCTTATGTTAACCTGCTTTAAATTACTTTTTTTCCCACATCAATCTACACTCCATACAACAAAGCAAATAACAGGTTTTTAACATCTTTGCAAATTTATTAAAGATAAAAAACTTAAATGATTCCATTGCATAAGTATCTGGGACAGTTGAAATTTAGCTCAGGAGCATTCATTTTGCTTGTAAATGTTCCCACACTTTGAGTGAAGCTAACCTGTGGCAAATTCAATTGAATGGGTATGATTTGGAAAGGCACACATGTCTTAATAAAAGGTATAACAGCTGAAAATGCAAAGACCAAGCCCTGAGGTAAAAAAAAAAACTGCTTGTAGAGCCCAGAGACAGGATTGCATCAAACCACACATCTGGGGAGGAGTTCAGAAAATAATTATGCTGCATTGAGGGTTCACAGAAACATGTAGCCTCCATTATCCATAATAGAAAACGTTTGGAACAACCAGGACTCTTCCCAGAGCTGGCCTCCTGGCCAAACTGAGCAACTGATGGAGAAGGGCTTTGGTTGGTGTGGTGACCAAGAATCTGATGGTCACTCTAGTTGAGCTCCATGATCATATGTGGAGATAGGAGAAACCAACAAAAGGACAAACATCGCTGCAAAACTCCACCAATCTGTGCTTTATGCTGGTGTGGCCAGACTCAATCCCCTCCTCAGTGAAGACACATGAAAACACACTTGGAATTTGCAAAAAAGCACCTAAAGGTCCCTCAGACTCTGAGAAACAAGGTCTGATGGTCTGATGAACCTCAATTCCAAGCATCATGTTTGAAGGAAACCAGCTCTACTCATCACCTGCAGAGTACCATCCCAAAAGAAAAATGTGCTGGTAGCAGCCTCATGTTGTGGGGCTGTTTTTCAGCGGCAGGGACTGAGGGACTCATCAGAGTAGAAGACACACAGAGACACACACACACACACACACACACACAGACACAGTCACAGACACACACACACACAGACAGACACACACACAGACACACAGACACAGACACACACAGGGTTTCTGCAGATATGAACAAGTTAAATTTAAGATTTTTTAAGACCTTTTTAATACCACCTTATATGAAATTTAAGACCTAAATCTGTAATGGAAATACACATTTTATTACATACATGTAATATTTAATTTGTTTAAATAAGAAAGAAAACAAAATATCATTGCTGTAATAAATTATATTTATTACTACGATATACAGTGAACTTTTCATGTCAGCAGACAATATTCCATACAAAATATCCCCGCAAAATAACTGCATCACTGAGATTTTTGGTGGAGTAAACAATTTATTGTTTATAAATTTATTGTGTTCTGTCAGTTTTTACATACTTAAATCTGCATATTTAACTTTACAAAGGCCTATTTTTAACCTTTTTAGATGTATGCATCATCTTACATGTCAAATTATTACAATTTATCAATAAATTCAATATACACTATAGGGCTGCTACCAGTTAGATTAAATAATTTACACTGCAAATAACAATAATTACAACTGCAATAAATAATGTTATGAGATTAATGTTTTAAATGCATTTATGAATATACAAATAAGAAATGTTGAGGGGAAAAATGCATACTTTTCAAAACACTTCTCAACTTAACTACCAGTAAGTGGTGGTAAGACACTAAATGAGTGAGTCACTGAATCATTCATTCACCTGATTGAGTGTGTTATCATGCTGGTATCTTAAGGACTTTCGTGGACAGCCGACTCCTACAGTTTTTGATATTCTTCACATTCTGAGTGGTGGTCAGATAGAAATTAATCTTTTCCAATAAGTTTAAATAGATTTTTACCTTTTATGGGCATTTTACCTTAATATAAAGCAATTTTTCTATAAGTGTGCATTATGTTTTGAGTCAAATTCTTACATTTAATCAGTGAATAAGAATAAGACATTTGGGCTGTTACCAAGCAAATAAAATCAGTATCAACAAAATTCATCTTTGCAATCCAGACATAAGCTGCACCTGAAGTGGCATTTAGATGTGTTTACACACTGTTTAATGCAGAACATGAATGCATTTAACCTGCAGTTACAAATGCATAAATAATGTTTTGATATATTAAACATACCTTTTATGGGCATTTTACCTTTATAAAGCCATTTTTCTATAAGTGTGCATTATCTTTTGAGTCAAATTCTTACATTTAATCAGTGAATAAGAATAATAAGACATTTGGGCTGTTCCCACTCAAATTAAATCAGTATCAACTAAATTAATCATTGCAATCCAGACATAAGCTGCACCTGAAGTGGCATTTAGATGCGTTTACACGCCGTTTAATGCAGAACATGAATGCATTTAACCTGCAGTCACAAATGCATAAAGAATGTTTTGATATATTAAACATAAAACATTGAATACTGATATTTGAAATAATTTAAAAAATGAAATGTGAAATTAAAGCCGCCAGTAGGTGGCAGCAAGTCACTGTTAATAAGCGAGTCATTGCGACTGAA